TCTAGAAGGACTAAAGCTGGGCTTCTGGACTCTACTTGGACTCCTACCCTACAGGTCTACAGTTCGAATCTTCCTACAGCCTACAACCTACGGTGACCTACTTACCACTGGCTATCGTGCAGGTCACGGGTTCAACTCCAGGGAACTGTACAGATACTGTACACAGGTAAGCTGAGGTCAAGGGATCGACCCCTGGGATCTGCATCGGCTACTGCCAAAGGTGAAAACTGTTTCAAAAGGAAAAAGCAGCACAAAAAGAAGAAGAAGAAAAGGAAAAAGAAGTGGAACGAGGATAGGTGGAGTAGAAAAAAGAAAGTGTGGAAAGAGGAGGACCATAGAACAGTATAGTGCGGTCAGTATACCCTTGGTATAACATCGTAGTATATGGCACCTTATAATGTGGCCTAATGAAAGTATAGTGTCTACTTGGTATAGACTCTGTAGAGTCTATAAGATTCTATAAGGATTTCTCCTTCGTCTTATCACGGCAGCGGGTTTCGAACAGATTTTTTTTTTAATTTGCAGGGGGGGCCGTGGGGGGGCGGTCTCAAACAGTTGTTGATTGTGCAGTGAATTCTTCATTTTCGATTTGTTGAGCTGTTGCAGCGGCAAGTATTGGACGGGGGTGCGACTAGTTCTCATGCAGTACTTGTATTCGCCGAGACTGAACAAATTTCTGCCACTCATGCAGCGCGCGACGACGGCTTTTGTGACCAAGTTGTACAATGTTCCGGAGGGCGACGTTGTAAAGTTGGAAGAGGGGCTGCTCTTTTTGGCAATGGATGTGGTGGCTGAGGTTGCTCTTGGCATCCCCTTCGACTCGCAGGACGAATGGGAAAACACGCCTCTGCTCAGAGCACTCATCAGCGACATGAACAGTAAGCAAGACACAACGAGAGTCGCGGACAATGATGATCAACCTTGCTGTATCGCCTTTCTCCACAAGTTCATGTCCCACATTCCGTGGACAGCCGAGTACACACGTTCGCTCAATCCGAAGTTGACGATGCGAGAACTAAAGAGGATTGTAGCACGGAGATGGAAGGAGAATAACATAGAAAACAAGGAAGACCTGCTGAGTTTCCTGATGAAAGCGAGGATCGAAGAAGATTCGGAATTGGAAAAGACGTCGAGAGCTCTAACCAATGATGAGCTGGCGGGCATCGTTCGAGATATCATGGTGGCCGGGTCGACCACCGCAGCCAGCACTTTGGTGTTTGCGATTACCCTGCTGTGCAAGCATCCACACATCAAGGCGGAAGTCGTGGCGGAAATCGATCGCTGGTACGAACAGCATGCTTCTGGGACCGTTGATGTCTCCCGGATCTGCGATCGTGAGGCCCCAGTGGACCACAGTCACAAGGAGACAGTTCAGGATGCTGCCATGGGGTTGAAGCAAGAGGACATCCAGTGCAAGTTTCCATGCTTGGATAAGGTACGGCCCGACATAGATTTACGACGATGAACCATTTTATGTGGAAGAGGTCTCCGGAACAAATACGTGGAGTCTACTAGGGATAATGTGTCGGTAATGTATGGATTAAAGTGTATGGCTAATGCAGGCATAATGTATGTACTATGTACATAAGAAATAATAAAATATACAATACTGTACATAAAAAAAATTAGACATATGTGGATGAAAAAGGAAAACACCATCCAGCATATACGATGCGGTGGAATTCTGGACTGTTCTCACCATAAATCCTTGAGAGGTGCGAAGCCTGCAATACTCCAGGTTATCTTCTTCGTTTTTTTTTTTTTTTTTTTTTTTTTTAAATTATATTCCAGGATATCTATCAGCTGGAAAAGCGCACTTTGCAAAACAAATGATAAAATACACAAGGCAAACATGAAGAGCACACTGAAACCATTCTTTTGATCATTTCTTCTTTTAGCTCACACACAGAGAGAGAGAGAGAGAGAGAGAGAGAGAGAGAGAGAGAGAGAGAGAGAGAGAGAGAGAGAGAGAGAGAGAGAGTTTTGATAGATTAGAAAGATAATCAGTCACAATTCTATGAACTAAAAGAGAGCACTTTGCGAAACAAACGATAGAAGTACACAGGACAAACATGAAGAGCATTTTCATCGTTCTTCTTTTAACTCCCCCCTATCATTGTGCCTCTCACGTACAAGCCTCGCCACGTTGATGAAGTTGTGTGCGAGCTGCCCGTATCCCAGTGTGCCATAACGGCCCACTTGTAAACTGTGAGAAATAAGCAGAATAGAGAGAAGAGAGATGGAGAGAAAACAAAGAACGACAAAGGGAAAGTAAAGAGTGTGGTATGAACACATGGAAGGGTGAAACTCCAGCGAACCAGTTTGTCACAGCCCCTCGTTTGTTGTCCTCTTCTCTCTCTCTACGGTTTACCGGGCAGCTCTGTTTGCCTATATATATATATATATATCGTCAAATAGAACTGCCCGGTAAACCGTAGGCAGAGAGGGAGAAGAGGACAACAAACGAGATATATATATATCGTCAAACAGATATTGGGTGAGTGATAGTCTGCTTTGATTTTCGTCGCAGGTACCTTGAAGGCAGTGGTTGGTGCCCACCTCAGGGTATCAGTTGTCGGGCAGTCGTTGATGCTTAACCACAGCCGGGGTTAAGGAAGGTGGATTATCACTTACAGTGTAATCAGTTATTAGGGGATTCTGCAGACTGTTGAGGGCTCAGCCTCCTGTTGAGTCGGTGAAACTCTGACAAAACAGTTTGTCACAGCCGCTCGTTTGTTGTCCTCTTCTCGCTCTCTGCCTACGGTTTACTGGGCAGCTCCGTCACAGCCGAGGGGGCCGTTCGTACGGCCGTTCGAACATACGAACGGCCCGTTTTGGTACGGGGGTATACACAGCATTCCAACACTTCTCGTGGCTGCCTTCGTCGTTCCCATATTCCTGTTCCGCATGCTTGTGTACGTCTTGCATATAAAAGAAAGTCCATAGAAAATGCATGCCTGTGCAGTTTTTTAATATGAAAGCAAGGTAATGTCCAAGTGCATTGTCGGAGCCATTTGAGTTACCTGCTGGGGGGTGAATTGACGTAAAGGGGACCCTTTGCTCTCTCTCTCTCTCTCTCTCTCTCTCTCTCTCTCTCTCTCTCTCTCTCTCTCTCTCTCTCTGTGGCACGAATAATTTTATTTTTTTTACGCACCTGGCGCAACGCCTTCAGTGCGCGCACTGGAATTCCAGCGCACAGCGCAGTGCTCCCCGCCCCGCCCCGCGCTGCACACTAGTGCACCGCAACTACGTTGTCGTCTGATAGGCCGAGCTTCTGTTTGATGCAGTGTTAATCAGTGCATTTGGAACAGAGTAGCTGGGCCACATACTGCTGGTTTAAGAATTTTAAGTCTCTTTTTCTTTTTAAATTAAAAGAAGGGCGACAAACCTTCCGATACCAGTGTTGGACTGACTGGCCCCTGGCAATTGACCGTAATTCAGGAATTCATTCATGTTGTTTCATCTGAATTTGAACTCAGGTCTGCATCTCAACAATTCATTGGTGTATCAACTGAGCTAGGCTTGTTGGTACCGTCTTCCCCCGAATACCATGTACGCGACGTACGGTCGTTATAGCTGTATGTAGCCTAAGGGTATCTTTCAGTCGAAGTCGTTATAGCTGTATGTAGCCTAAGGGTATATTTCAGTCTAAATACAACTATAATGGCAGTATGTTGTATTTGGGGGAAGAAGGTAATCTCATTATTTTACACTGCAGGCTTCAGTCAAACTTGTGCTCTTAATCCATCCATTAAACCACCAGTACCTGGCCCAGCTATCGGCTGCGAGAAAAAAAAAAAGAGTAGAAACGTTTCTAGCCGGATGTTTTCCAAGCGAAATGGCAGCCTTTACATCCCACCAGACGTGGCGCGTTGACAACTGCGCCAGAGAAAATTGGCTGCGAAACATACTGGTGTGGTTTAATGACTTATTCCTGACCTAGTCGAGTCGAGATCCCCTCCCTCCGTCCCCTTAAGATTACCCCCCCCCAACCTTCGTGCTCCCACCTCCCCCCCCCCTTCCCCTCCTTTCTTCACTGTCAAAATTCTAACAAACGAATGACTGATGACCAAGTTGAGAGTGTAACAATTCATTCATGTGTTAAATTAGAAAATAAAATTAATATGTTTCGAATCGCTGATTTGTCATTGGCTTTCAGGTTATACAAGAAACGGCGAGGATGTACTGCGTCTCCGAGGTCATTGAACGCGTCTGCACAGAAGACACACACCTGGGAGGTTACTTCATCCCAATGGGAACACAAGTGCACATCAACACATACGGCATCCATTACAATCCTGAGTTGTTTCTCATGCCAGAGGCATTCCGCCCACAGCGCTTTGGCAGGTTGTCGTCGCTGTCGTTGATTGGCATTCCACATAATAATTTCCAAATGTTCCCAAATCCGATCAATCCTTCACTGCTGGGTTTCGGTCTGGGTCCCCGCCGGTGCCCAGGAAAGAGCTTTGCTCTATTAGAGATGAAGGTCGTACTCATTCGCCTTTTGCGCCACTTCGATTTCAGGCTTGTCTCCGACGATTCCGCTAACTCAAGGCTGGATATCGAAACAGGTCCCACACTAAGGCTCAAGGGCGGGCTGCCAGTGACAGTGCACATGCGGCGCAGGTCAGGTGAGAGGTAATCACGGCTACGAAGTCGAAAAGACTAATCGTAAAAAGAACAAAAAAAAAAACAAAAACACGAGTATGTTTCCCTTATATCGGCCGCGGGCGGGAATTCGAGGCCGAGACGAAAAACGGGCCGTCGATGACATTTATCGACGGTGGCCCCTTTTTCCCGCCGGCTTCCAAATATATACCAGCGCGTTTCTGCAAAATGGGCCGGGGAACAAACTGGTGTGGTTTAATTGCCAGAGCGAAGACGATGCGGCAAGGACGGACGTCGGGACCGAGGGCGATCATCTTCATTAAAAAACCGGTGAGTGCCTAGTCATTCCACAGTTGTATTCGGTGAGCACTGTAGCAGCGGCGTAGCTCAATATGGAAACAGCTTTATTCTGGTGACCACCGTAGCAGCGGCATAGCTCGATATGGAAACAGCTTTTTTTCCCCTGACTCAAGAGGCCGTTAACAGAGGACCGAATTTTCAGAAATTTGTCATGCATTAGTCAGGGGCTCAAAATGGGGGTTCCCGTTAACCAGTAGTGAGAGAGCGTAGGATAACAAACTGTTCGGGGGGTTCCCGTTAGCCGTTTTCAGGGGCTGAAAATGGGCGATCCCCCTGACTCGAGAGGCTGCGACAGACTGTTCGGGTAAAGCGGTGCAGGTAAGGCGACGGCAGGGAGGACAAAGCGAAGGTTCGCACAATATCACCACAATTTTTTTTATTTATTTATTTTTTTTTCACCACAAATTTCATATTTGGGATCAAGGATGAACAGTTACTGCCTTTGAGAGAGAATCAGCAGTAAATGTTGCAAAGAAGTCGTCGACGACTGATAGTACTGATGTCCTGTCCACGGCGACAATGATGCAACTTGAAGCAACAACGTCGGAAGTACGTGTCTGGTGATGATGAGAAGCCGGCGACGTTGACGGCTGGGTATCAGTTGATGGAGGCTCGACTGTGGCGCTCTGAGGGTGACCGTCCTGTAACAGTCGTTGACAACAGAGGTAAAACAGCTACAGAGAAACAGGCAGAATTAACGGGCCTAGCTCAGTTGGTATACTAGTAGTACCAGTGAAACTCTTGAAATAAAGACCCAAGTTCGAATTCGAATTCCACTGGAAGCAGATGAGAGACACACTAGAAGAATTCGGAATTGCCTAGAGCCGGTCAGTTCGCTGATGATATCTCATGGCCGTCATCCTCACGAGGAAAAAAAAAAGAGAGAAAGAAAAAGAAAAAAAAGAAAAAAAACAGGCAGAGTCTCCTCAGCGAACGCGCCAATGCCATCCGTAACTGACGGAGCATGTGCATGCTCGATGCTGTATAGCCATGGAGTAGTGCTGATGCCCTAATGCTCTAGCCATGGAATAATGCGGATGCCGAATGCTCTACTGTCTTCACCCCAATAGAACGCCCCGTCATTATATCTGTATCTAGACAGAAAGTTGCCCCAAATAACACAAATACAGCTTTAATGACCAGGTGTTTTATTCGGATGAAGACAATAGTTATGGTCCTTATGGAATCGTCATGCTGATGCCAGGCAACGATGGTGGCAAGATGGCCATAGGAGGACCAAAGGGTGGGCTTTTTCTCTAAGTACAGGAGGTCAAGCTGACGTAGAGAGTGCATTATCATAAGAGGTGCCAGTCAGCGGCGCTTCGTCTGAGCCCCGAAGATCGATCTGGCAAGGAGAGTGCACTGTCACACAGATGGGAAGACAAGTGGGAACCAATGCAACCACCAGTTGGCAGAGGGACTGCATTGTCTCAGCACAGGTGAGAGACAGCAAGGCTACCTTCACCTGAGCCCTGGAGACTGAACTGGCAGGAAGAGAGAGAGAGAGAGAGAGAGAGAGAGAGAGAGAGAGAGAGAGAGAGAGAGAGAGAGAGAGAGAGAGAGAGAGAGAGA